CCCAGGAGGTGGAGGTTTCTGCAAGCCGAGATTACACCAGTGCACTCCAGCCTGGGTGACAGAGGGAGACTCCATTTCAAAAAAAAAAAAGAAGAAAAGAAAACTACGCGATGGTACTTTGGGGAAGACTATTATTTTCCTGATGTAATTATTTTCCTGATAGTTTTAGCTAGCATAGGGCTTTTGTCCTTCAACCTTCTACCACCTTCTTATGTGTAATGCCAAGTTGATGCTGGAGGAAGAGGAACTTTTCAGTGACCATAAATTTGAAAATAAAATCGCAAGAGTGGTGGAATAGGAAATTAAAAGGTTATAAGTCTTTGAAAACTAACTTGAAATTAAAAGGTTATAAGTCTTTGAAAACTAACTTGAAGAGCATGACCAGCCCTGAGCTATTATTAAATTGCTTATTTCTTGAGAAAAATGTAATTCTCTTACTAAGCCACTCTAGTTGATTTTCCATAACATGCAGCTGATCTCATTTCCAGCCAACATAATAATATAAGGAACAATTTGCCAGGAAGATATAATGACCTGAACCAGCATACATTTGCCAGAAATAGCGATCAATAAATTCACAATCATAGAGGGAAAGTAAAACATACTGCTTTCTGTAAATGATAACCCAAGCAGACAAAATATATAAGAATATAGATTATTTGAACAATACATTAACAAGTTTGATTTAAGGAACACATATGGTACCATGAATTCAACAACAGGAGAGAATAATTTTTTTAAGGAATGAGAGAATAATTTTTTTAAGGAATCATGGAACAGTTATAAAAGTTGACTATATACAAGGCTACAAATAGTCTCTGTTAATCCAAATAATTGGCATTCTTCAGACAATGTTCTATGACCAAAATTCACTATAAGTCAAAGACAAAATGTCAAACAAGTCCACAGATTTGGAAGTTCAAAAACACACTTCTAAATAACCAGTTAAAACAGTGATTATTATGAGAATTTGAAGCTACTCAGAACTGATGACCCACAAAATGCAACGAAAGACCACATCAAAAAGTTGGAAAAAAGACTGAACTGCACCAAAAAGCAAAAGTCAAAACAAAATAGAAGTAAGGGGGGACATAGAAAAAATAAAGAAAAAATATAATACCAAAAGCTGGTTTTAAAATTAGTTATTTCCATGATAAAATTAATCAAGAAAAAAGAGATAAAAAAGTTAGAAATGAAAAAGAAGCCATAACTATGTGTATTTTAGGAATTTTTAGAAATGTTAGAGAATACTATGACCAACTTTATGCCAAGAAATTTGAAAAGTTAATGAAATGGAAAATTGTCTAGGAAAAAAAAAAAAAACCGGCTACCAATGTCAGAATCAAGAATAGATAACTTTAAAAAATTGTAACTATTAGATCAATCAAATCAGTTATTTAAAACCCACCTCAAAAAGCCCTCTAAGACAATCTTCAAGGAACCAATATCCTCTATCTTATACAAATTTTCTAGAGGAAAGATTTTAAAAAGGAATTTTCTCCAATTCATGTTATGAAGCTAATGTAACCTTGATATTATAACAACATGAACAGTAGGAGAGAGGAAAATGATAGGCCAATTGCCTTTATGACTAAAGCTACAAAAATCTAAAGAAATTAGAAGCAGGGAAAATGAAGCAATATATGGAAAAAATAATAAATCATGATAAAGTAGGGTTTATTACCAACATTCAAGGATGACTTAACATTAGACAATCTAATATTGTATTCCACCACATAGCATGATGGAAATGGAAAATGTAAAACAATATTATCTTCTCATTAGGTTTTCTAAAAACATGAAAATTTAATACTCATTCATGAGACATATATTTTGCAAGCTATGAATCTTTAATCTGATAAAATATGTCCATCAAGCATTCACCAAAGACATCATTCTTAACGATGAAACACTAGAACCATCCCTTTAAGAAAAAGACAAGAGTACTTGCTTGCCCCATTTCTGTACAATATTGTACAGGAGGACCTAACAGTGCCCTACTTAAGAAAAATAATAATCAGCTGGAAGATTAAAGAGGAAGAAAAATTGTGTTTCGTTGAAAATGACAATGTTATGAGAATCTGCAAACCAATTTAATAACCAAATATAAAAATTTCCTGGATATAAGATCAATATTCAAAAACCAATAGCATTTTTATTCACCAGCCGGAAAAAAAGGTAACTTTAAAAGAAGACAATGTCTATGCTAGCATCTAAAACTATATTGTACTGATAAATAAATCTAAAACACTTATGATTTTAAGAAGACCATTATTATTGAATGACCCCTCTATAAAACAGTATTCGTCACTCTTTAACCCTTTCTATACCATTGTCTTCTTTGCAGTACTCATCATGCATGACTTTATCAACATAGATAAAGTCAATATTATAAAGACATAAATTCTAGTCAAATTAATATATAAATGCAATGCAATTTTTAAAATAAAAATGGTTACATTGGTTTTCATAGAGCTGGATAACCTGATTCTAAAATTCTAAGGGAATAATGAAGGGCTAAGAATAATTAATTCATGTAAGAGGGAGGAGACGGAAGTTGAGTAGGAAATTTGAGCTGGGAGCTGAGTGAGGTGATTCATGGTAGCAGGTTCAACAATTACTAATATAATTAGTATTATATTGATGGAATTGATAGAATATAAACTGATAGAACAGAAAAGAGTGCCCAGAGAAAAACAAATGCATATATGGAAGCTGACTTCACATTGATTTGCCATCTTTAGGATTCTCTCAGAGAAGTTGGGGGCCAATTACTACCGTTTCATCTGCATTACTGTCTTTGAGGAGATGTTTAGTAATACTCAAACAGGTTTTGAAGACCAGTGTAAAATTAATATTATTTTTGTCTTACGCTTTATTTGCATCATATTTTTCCAAACACCAGATATTGGCTCTCTTTTGCTGTTCTATCAAGGTAAGATGATATTAACATAGTCCTTGACAATTTCCCAAGACACTGTCTTTTTTACTTAATACGTAGAGGGTTATTTTTTTAGATGCAAATGGGATATCACTCTCCTCCTAAAAATTCTTCAGTAGGTTTCCATTGTGGTTTAGAGGAGAAAAATCTCAAATACTTAACATGGCTTATGTTTCCATCATGAAATTCTCTTTGAACAACCTCTCTTTGATCCTCTTCTTCTGGTACTTTCTATTCATACTTTAGCCTCAGCATAAGTGCTAGTTCTTTGGGAAAACTTTCCCTGGCTCTTCATACCAGATTTTACCCCTTTGGTTCAGGTTCCTTGAGTATCTTGTATTTTTTCTTGCATTACTTCTCACTATTTTAACTAACAATCTGTGTAATCATTTGCTTATGGTCCACCATTCTCCTAGTTGAAACACCATGAAGGTAGAAAACCTGGAACATAGCAGTGTAATGCCTGGCACATAGTAACGGTTCAGTGTAGAATTGTAGAATGCATAAATTTGCATGTTTATTATTACAATATGACTAGAAAAAAGTGAAATAAAAAATAACTGTATTCCAAATAATAGAACCTGTAAGTGAAGCTTCTATTACTGATGATCAAAATTACTTTTAATTGCATCTACTGTAAAATGTGACAGTTGTCTCCAAAGGACTCATAAGGTTCAAAAAGTGGCTTTTGTTACTATCTCAAATGTTCTCAAGTCAGAAGTTTAAGTGATTAAATTACGACAGGAAAGGAGCATCAGTGGAGTACAGAAGAGTAATGTGCAGCAGGGTGTCTTCTCCTCCTTCTTCCCTCCCTGGAGGGCTCACACTGCAGGGAGTCAAAGGAAGGTTGGGAGGAAGAGAACAGAACCAGCAGAAGCGGCAAAGCCCCCAAGCCAGACACAGGTTGCTAAGGCTACAGCCTTGATGTTAATTGCTCATAATTTAGAACACTGAAATACAGGAGTAGTCATTTCACCCAAGGGACAATGTGGATGCTGAATGTCAGCATTTCAAAGAAGGTATTGAAATTAAATTTCAAGAACTAGAAAAATGACTCAAGTTTGAAAGTGCAAATGGTAGACTCATCAGTCTTTCCAATTAGCTTTTGGGAACTGCTTCTTCCATCCTTTGATGGGATTATCACCATTTTTTGACTGTAACTACAGTGACCAATCTCAGCTCCTGGACAGGCTCAAAGATATTATTAGTTGTATCATTCTAGACCTGAAACAGATGATGAGCAGAAAAGAAACTATCATTCCTTTGGAATGATTTGGGATTGATTCCCAAATGAAAGCAAAGGAAAATGCTTGAGTGTGACCAATTAGGTTCATATCGGAAACATCTCATGAGTTCCAACTTCGTGCAAGGCTGTGGACCAGGCTCAATGTGGTAGACACAAGACAATCAGGAAAGGACTGGACCACCAAGGAGCTCCTGGTATATTTGTGAGCAAAGACGCAGCATGAGAAATGCAAGTAGCACAACTGTGGATCAGTTATTAGAATTGTGGAACTCCAATACCAGCTCCAGGTGATGCTGAACAAGTTCCACTTAACCTTGATAAGACTTCTTTTCTGTCTATATATCATTTGACCAGATGATCTCTAAGGTGAGTTCCACCAATCTCGCTGGCCCCCCTCTTCTCTTTAACTTAGCAATAGCATATAGGTGATGTCTCAAGGACAGTAGCTGAGTATTTGTTTAACTGTTTAATCAATGGATCAGACAATAACTGCAGTAGAAGCTTATGGAAGAAGGTGGGGTAACCTGCATCACATATATGCTTTTGTTTCTTCTAGCTGAGGAAGGCAGGAAAGAATTTAAGGGGAAGGTGAGATTTGAGTTGAGGCCAGAAAGATCAACAGAAGAGATACTAGGGGAAGAGTGTAAGGTAATTCCAACAGCATTTCCCTAATATTTTGTGTTGTGGTAAACACAGGAAGCCACATCTGGTGCATGCTGGGGTAACCCCACCAGGTGAGAAGGTAAGGCTAGGGGTAAAGAGAGCCCACTTGGCCTCCCACAAAGCTGAGGGAAAATTTGTATCCCAGCATACCTGTAGGTCATCAGTGGCACACCTATGTCCTGCAGCTGGCATTTGTGCCAGCTGGGAAACTCCGATCCAGGAGTCCGATAACAGGAAAGAGCATTCTGCCTTTTTCAGATTTCTGGTGAAGTCAGGTGTAGAAGTGTGTGAGAAGAGTTGCAGGGAGAAAACATATGGAAACATGCTTTTATCTTGGTTGTCGACCTTGAAAAAATAACAATGAATGTGTATTGAAAATCCCTTCTCTATTACAGGTACTAGTCCAAGCTATAATTCATTTTTTTTACAACTTTATAGGTAAATTCAGGTGTTAATATCTTCAGGAGAAACTGAGGCACAGAAGGACATGGTACCATAGCATCTGTGGAGGGGTAGCCTGGGAGAGTGTTCCTGAGAGGCAATGCCATCACTGTGTGAGAGGCAATATCACTGTGGTTGGGAAGGGGATAGTGTCAAGTGAGATGACTGATATATTTCAACTGCCCCTGCACTCCAAAGGCTGACACTTCCAGCCTGAGAACAAACTGTAAAGCATCAAGCTGGGCCCAGCACATAAGAAGCTTCTTGCAATGAAGTAGCAGTGCATTACGCTGTAGAAAGAACAGAGAAGCACACAATCAGCAGAGGGCGTGGGAAAGTAGAACCTGGAATTACTCAATTTACTTAGGAGCTTTTCAGAACTGAAGAGGGGTCACATGTCAGATTAAAGGAAGGAATTCCAAGCCTCAGGGCCTGGGTTTCAACAGGAAAAGCCCTGGTGCAGCATCCCTCAGTGTATGTTCCCTACCTCAGGCCTGTTTGTGGGGTGAGCGAGGGTAGGTGACAAGACTGGGGAAAAAGACAGATGTTGGTTCTGCCAGGGTTTGGACCATCAGATTCACCATGGCCTAAGCCCGCTCAAAACTGTCCATAGGTAAGTTTCACAGTTTATCATAAGACTGATAGGGAGCCAATGAAGCGCTCTAAGCAAGTGAGTGACATGATTTTTATGTGGATCACTATGGCTGGAGTATAGGTAATGGACCAGAAAGGAGACAAGGCGATGGCTTAGATCAGCTGTGTCCAAAGAGGACTCATATGCCCTGGAGGTGTGCATTGTGGTGCTCTGGAGTATGGTAAGGAAATCAAATAACTTTATCTTTGTTATTTTAAAAATAAAATAAAGTCTACTCAAACTGAATATAAAGATGCACACAGGTACCCTCTTTTAATTCCAATCAAATCATTATTTGAAATTTAATTTCAATTTCAATCATTACTATTAATGATTAACCATATCTGGTTCATATCATTACTTGAGATATTTGCTAATTGCAGTATAAAGCCATTATAATCAAGATGGTTCAAAGACAATATTTCAAATATACAATATTTCATCTTTATCTTAGTAAGATTTTGTGTATGTTTTTAACATGTTCATGAAAATTAGTCAAAGAATACATGAATATAATTGATAAGCAAGAAAATATACATATATTGGCAGTCAGTGTATGCTCAACATTTTTTATTAATAGACGTGCAGTGAATCAGTCTGGATCTGTTCAGGAGAGAAACCATCCAGTAATTCAAACGGGGAACGTTTAATATAAATAAATACTATAACAGAGGACTGAACTAATGAAGGATTGGTTAGCAGGAAGTACAGCGAACTCTTAAAAACTATAGGATTAGCAGATATGAGGAGCAGAGCACTCAAGGAAGAGATCCTCCCTGCCCTCAAGGCTGAAACCCAGACCTTGTTGGAGAGGGCACAGCCATCACTCACAGAATGGCAGAGAAGTCAATGTGGTACTACACCAGCAGAACTTACTGGAAATCTGCCTCTGGCACTGGCCAGAAATCTGCCATCTAGGTGCTAGGAAAAGCTGTTCATGGGAAGGTGTCTCGCCAAGGGAGTGCCTGGGGAAGCGGCTGCCCATTGGGTGCTGCTGATTGCTATGCGCTGCAGGGGCTGAGTGCTGGAGAGGCCATGGGTGTTGTGGAGCCTTGCACTGAAGCTGCTGCCCACATTGCAGGAAAGCGATTCCTGGGTGCTGGAGGAACTGTGCCTACCTGCAGAGGCCTCAGGGGAGGACCGCAGAGCTGGGAAGAAAAACTCCCCCTTCCTCTTGCAGTGCCTCTCCTGCGCCCTCTACTGACAGAGCTTAACATTGTGCTGGGTGGTAAAAGGAAATAGATGTAAAGGTCCGAACTCGACTTTTCCAGAGCAGAAAATGAAGGGTGAATTTGAAGCTGAGAGAAAATAAATTTGCAACTGGTACATGAATATCAAAAAATTGGGGGGCACATACCCCATATATATATTTACTTACTTATAAGTTTTATACCTGTATAGAATTCTAACATTATGTATGTAATAAACATATACAAAAGAGAAATAACAAAGATGAGAAAACATAAATAGAAGTCCTACTATTTTATTCTTGCACCCCAGTGTATGTCATCCCACAACCCACTTTGAAGATGACTGCACCCAGTCAAAGCCTTCAGGGACCAGTACCAAATGGCTTACTCTATGATGCCTTTCTCGTCTTCCTAGCTCACAGTAATCTCTGTGTATTTCACTTGTTTGTATGCATCCTGCTCTGTGCTGCCACTTCAGCTTTTCACAGGTGTGTCCTATCTTCCCTAACAAGTGCAGGGAGCACATGTCATATTATTTTGTACTATTCTTCATAGGGCTAGGCACAAATTACACAGTCATCATAGACCCGTTGGTTCACTGACTACTCTTAAATAACATCAATATTTACCTTAACGCTTCATTTTTCTTGTTATTCAGATCATAACCATCGAGAAGCATCATACGTTTCTGAACTTTAAACCATAGATCTAGGTCTTCTTGTCATCCAGGGATACTAGGCAAGTGAGTAATAAAGTGCATTCGTTGATTTCAGTATTGAATATCTGCTGCACAACTTTCTGACTAGTCTACACAAACCCTCTGTCAATCCCAGTGTAGATATTGGGGACACGTGTGCAAACCCAGCTGCTTTGCTGGAGAGACATTTATCTCCTCTCCATCTCTGATGTGACTAAACATTAATTGAATACAAATTTGAGATTCTAACCTAATATGAGTTTATGCTTCTTCAAGAAGGAAAACGCCTACTTCCTTTAAATTCATTTGTGTCAGAAGTCAGTCTGAAGCAGACGGCTCTACACTGGGTAAATTCTCACAGCACTTCACAAACACATATATTTCCCAAGCCCCTCAGGGATGTTCAGTTATCTGCTGAGCTAGTTGGGATTTGACTAAATAGTCACACAATTGCTCACCATCTGGGCCATCCTCAGACCTAGACCTGCAAAGAAAAGGAAGGTCTGTTGGTCCCCCTGTGCCCTCCCACTCCCATCCTGTCCCCATCACTCCTGTAGAGTTTTTTTTTTTTTTTTTTTTCCCCTGGAAAACACATTTGCAAGCCAATCACCATCAGCTCACCCATACGACAGACTCTGAAATAGAGTGGGTGGTTACTCATTAATTTTTCTTTCCTTTCTCCTTACTCTCAGGCCTGAGTGTCACACTCCTGGTGATGTCTGTAAAATAGAATCCTCCCAGCCCTGGGGATTCAAATACCAGCATATTTTTCAAGTAAACTTACAGTTTGAGGATAATTTGCTTGCTAGAGAAGCAAAATGTTGACAAAACATGGCTTAGTCTCATCTCAAGTTTCTACTTCCATCTTCAGAATCGATGAGGATGCTGGAAAGTGCATCATTAATCCCATTACATCATCTTATTGAAGATGCTGGTGTGGTGTTTACAAAAGGAGATGCTTTCTTTCCCCATAAAATCGATGATGACACGGTAAGGCTCTGGGCAGGGAATGAGCAGTCTGGAGCTCCAATTCGACATACAGCTCCCACACAAGTAGCCCGTAACTCAGGGGCTGCTACCAAAAGTGGGCCAGCACTGCCACTGCATTCTACATTAGGTGGCTGCCTTTGGACAGGCTGCCCAAAGCCTCAGGGCCCTCCTGTACTGACTGTAGGAGCTTGACCCTGGCCAGCCACAACCCTGGTCAATTAGCATGGATGGCAGATGCTTAAAAATGTAACCACTGCTCCAAATGACGTTCAGATAATACTCTCCTTGTATAAAGACCTAGGGAATTACTGGGCTTTCAGTTTCTTTCCCCACCAAAGTTCATGATATTTAACCATTAAGAAACAGTCAATACATACCACTTCATCTTTTTCAAGGAGGTTAAAAAATCATTAAAGATAATTTTTAAAAACCCTGGTTATTTATGTAGGAGCAGGACTTTATCAGCTGGCCACTTTGATGTTGATGTTTTTCTTTAAGACAAAATCATGATGTCATTAAAAATTCACTGGTTTTGTTACCCTAATACTTACTCCATGCCTAATCTCACACCATAAGTGACCATCACTCACACATAGGTTGAGAGTGAGCAATGGGGTCAAGGTCAAGTATCCACTATAAATAACCGTTTTATACATTATTTAGAAATGTTTTTAAAGCTAAACATTTATCTGTTTGCTTTTAGATAGTGTCAAAATGCACGTAGCATTTATTTTCTCCCTCTTGCCCTACATCACATCTTCTGGAAAAATCATGCTCTCAGATTGAAAGTTGGTGGTGGTGGCAATAGCAACAGCAGTCACCAAAGGAGGAGCTGTGGCAGTGGGCATTGAAAGGAGAAGAGATTGGACCTGAAAGAAGAGAGAATGAGCCCTTAACATAAGCCTTGAGATAGGGAAGATGAAGGAAAGTGAGCCCGGGCCCCAGGGCTGCACTTTGGAGATATGTATCTATGAGGCAGAAGTAGGCTGAGACATAGGAAAGAGGGGATAAAAACTTGTGGCCTGCAGGACAGATCAATGCATGTAGGAGGTGACTTTGGCCATTCTTCAAACTGATGTTATTTAAATATCTGTTCAGTATTTATGAGAAGTTGGCTGCTCTGATGGGTAGAGAAAGAGGATTGTTGGAGACAGTGCTAGTCTTTCCTCTACCACCCAAACAGCTCAAGCCTGAAGCCTGCAGTTGCCTGGACCTACACCTTCAGAAGACATGTTAGTGAGCATCTACTGCAACTGGAGCTATTTGGGAATGTCATCACTTTTTCAGGTATTATTCCCAACTATATGTAATGTTCTCCCAGAAAGAAATAGAGATTAATAGGTTCCTCCACCTCAATGTTTTAGTACCCTTTATTGGAAATCTGTCTGGCCAG